TTGCTTCTGTGTCCTGCTAGTAGATGCTCCTCAACCACAAGGTGTGTACCTTGGTTGTATTCAACTTTCAGAGTTGGTTCTGGGATGTGATCTCGATGTGTTAGTAAGATCAAGTCAGTTCAAACAGGAAATTTCGTGTCGCTTCCTCTACCGGAAAGTGTCTCCTGTGCACCGCACTGGATCACAGTGGGGCAACGGTTTAGTACGTGAAGTAGCACCACGATGTAAGACCGGGAAGTAGTGGAGCCAACACGGGACCAACTTAAGCTCGGTAAGCTGAATAGCTGATTTCCACAAACGTTCGGAGGGACATGTTGTACATCGACAAAAACACTTCCCAGTCTATCCGCTCTACCGAGAATGGGATTGGAAGTTTTTTAGAAGTCTGTTTATGGGTACGTCCTCAGACGGGCAGTCGCTGAGATACATCCACTCTGCTCTGATGGATAACCCGATTTCTGATTGGGCGAGGACGTCATGCTGTTTAGTACATAGATTAAAGTAGATGGAGCATGGGAGCTTGGGATTCAAGATCACCCAACGTAATCAATGCAGTCATGTTCACACCGCGCTTTAAAAGACATAGAGACACCATGATGACACCACAAAGAAAAGGATGAAATTGGCGACGGTTTGACAAACATACGATATCTTTGTATGTTAAGAGGTCTCGATATTTCTTCACAAAAACTCTCAACAGGATTCTTGAGAGAGAGCAAAAGATATTACAAGGCTATCCAGGAGAAAGCTGAAGACGAGTCACTGTGTAGTTAGGATCTCCTGATGGTTGTGCAACATTTCTAGTCTACCGTCAGACTGGGCGATCTCCTTACTGCATTTTGAGTCATAATCCGATTCATGACGTGATCTGTCAAGATCTTCCTCGCGATTTCTTATGAAGATCACCAGGATGTTTTAACAGGAAACACGCAGAGAACTGCATGTATCTGCACGAATCAGAGTATGCACATCCCGTTACCGATGAGAATACCATGCACATGAAAACATCAGATCCTACCAGCTAGGTCAACAGTAAAAAAACGTTATAAAACAGTGCACCAGCATGAAAGACTCCATGAAGACTTGAAAAACGACGGGGGTACAGTATTGTTACGACAGTGGTCTTCACAAAGAAAGCGAAATGATGTGCAGTGCTGGCCCTAACTGGATGGCAAAACAAACGGGACGCGGCAACTGACTTGAAGCAGAAAAAAATTGGAAAGGACGAGAACCAAAAACACGTAACGTTTCCGGACGAGACCTACCTGATTAGCTTGGATAAAAGTCTGCGTCCAAGGGTAGTGAAAATCAGTAACAAGAGAAAACCAATGGAGTGATAAGCCAAAGAGCACAAAACACAGAGGGAGGAAAGGGGGAGACAATTGTGCGGAATACAAGTAGACTTGGATACAAGGTCGAAGACAAAATATAGCGCTCAGGGGAGTATAATAGAGGTCTTCTACGTTAGGATGAAAACGAGTCGTTAAGTGGAGCTGTGCGCAAGCTACTATAGCGAGCACGTACCAAAATCCGAAGTCACTTCACTCATAAAGAACAATGTGAATAAATTAGAAACAAAAGATAACTTCAAAAATGCCATCTGAAATGCAGTATGGAGGGGAACCAACTTGGAAAGACAAATATGAGAGATCTCACTCAACAGACCACCACCATGTGGTCAAGCACGCTTTTCGAAGTAATTCTGGTCTACGCGCGTGTGGCCAAATTTGACTTACCTATGACAGTAATAGCATATATCATACAAGTAAAAATACTCAAGTACGACAATCTGGGATGGAGTCACGATTGGTGAGAGGTAATGATCTTATGATATGTGGGAATAACAGATAGCCTTTGCTGTTTCGAATTGAGAGACCGGCTTGTGTTTAATCAATTTTGTTCACAGAGTTGTAACCTTTTTTCGACGAAACGAAATGTGACCTAAGTTGAACAGGGTTTAATAAAATTCGGGTTTTTCACAGTTGTCTTCATTTCGAACTTCATTCAGAATTCGCCAACGAATTCTGAGAGCGAGCTGCAGATAAAGGTGTATTTTTACCATTATTGATTGATTTTCACACCTACCAGATGACGACCTGCGTCTTGAGGTTCTCCACACGAACTCATCTGCTTGAGACACGTCGCTAAGAGATTTGTAGGCTAGATGGCAAATACTAATGACAAACATAAGTCCTAGGACATACGATCTAATTTAAGCCTATTTGAACGTGCTTCAGAGTCCCCACTAAAACTTGTCAGAAGCTGTCCTTCCGATCATGCACATGTCAGAGCAATCACAAAGTAATCTAAACACGGGAATGAGCCATTGCAATCAAAATGATCACACGCCTTCATTGATAATGATATGAACAGTAAGCGTGAACCCGAATGAACATAGTATGACCATAGGAGACTGTCGTAACACAATAGACGGAGGGGAGGATAACGGAGAAAGGACTTTGAAGAAAGCAGCAAAACTAGGAATACGGTAACCGTGCTGCAAAAGGAGATACAGTACCACAGACCACCGTAACAGTGTACTAGCAGGAGGTAGCTTGGAACCCATAGATCTTTGCATGACAATCAGCCACAAACGTGGCTCCAAGTACCTGTTTACATGGAATAAAAGTCACACTCCAACAGACCACTTTGACAGGCGAGTTAAAGCAAGCCAATACACCAATCCCATGACGTTTCCGTTTAAGGACTCCCTGTATGCACTCTGAGATGTCACAGACTATGCCTAGGAGTACAACGTACAGAGGCGTACTTTGGAGCAAGAGGATAAAACAGCCTCGTGTTAAGACTGACACAGAATGGTGCTGGTAGGAAATTACTTACAACCGTAGGAACTAAGAATAGTGGACATAATTTATGGTCACTCTCCGGGTAGTTTACTCAATAAGCAAGCATAAACATAGGTAATCATAACGGACAAATTCATCACAACGCATAAAACGTTGTGATTACTTAACTGGTATAATTTTTCAACAAGAAACCATTACATCTGCTTAGGCTCAAGTCCTTCTCTACGACTAATTCCATCCATACATAATCAAATTCCAATGGTCATGAACTGCATCTCCAAAATTCTTAAACAGTAGATCGGCTAGCCAAACAACAGTTCATTACCACACAAGGCAAGTGATTTCTAGCTAACAGATACGCTGTCATAACAGCGAGTGGTGTAGCGAGCTGATAAATGAAAGAGATTTCTGGACCACAAGGTTAAACCAGTACAGAGAACACATCAAACTATGCAAAAGTTCGATCAATAGACGCATTCGTTGGATGCAGACTGGACCCATTGTGTGCAAACACCAAATGAATACCGGAATCCGAAATCGTGCACTACTGGTACCTTGAATGTCAGCCAAAAGCGCGCTAGACAATAGCCAGTGGTGGAGTCGATCAAGATAACTGAGCTTTAAACCTTCAATTGGTGAAACGCTAGTATGGCATAGGATATGATATACGCAGAAACGGGTTTAGCAAGTTCTTGATACAACTGTATGCAGCCAACCTACGGTTCTCTTATTCTACGCCGTTATCAAGCGCTTCTCGACTTCAGGATAATGACTGACGGATCTTCGTGTAGTACGTTGACAGGCAGAGCTCAGACAGGTATCTAGCGAATAAGTAGCGCGGGTAACAGATGCCAGTGCCCTGAGAGCGTGATGGATGCTGAACACCGTTCAGTTGAAGGCAACAACGGTAGTACCAGGTTTATCTGTGAGGTTGTAACGGCGAGGGCAACGTAAATGACAAATAGGCAATATGGATGGTCGCATAATCATCACTTGGATATATGCAGCGATCAGTAGGTAAAAGGTATTACTTTTTTGCTGAGATCACCCGAACCGAGTTTCAACAAACTAAATCATGGGTTTCAGTAGTAAGACCTCGTTTGAGGAAGAAAGGAAACTCGGTAGAAACTAGCAAGTCAAAAAACCACAGCAACTGTGTTTGCTATATGTACAAGTTTCACAGCTCTGTTCAACGAACGAAATGCCCCCTTACTCAATCTGCCCAACAGAGGTCTGTGCTATCTGTCAATTGGATGTCGGATTTCTGAACTTTTATATTGTTTTCGGGCTCCGCTTCGCTGTTCCTTTAATTCGGTGTACGCCACTTATTTTATATAGACACACACCTTACAAAGTACTTTCAGTTTGCTTTCATTTCTAACGCACTTCCATCATTCGATGTCATTCTGTATTCGCCCCCGACTAAACAAGCATAACGGATGACTGATTCACCATATCACTAAGCCTAGAACTGCATGCACGTACACACAGAACAGTCTAACAAACTTCAGTGTAATATGTAGAATTTCCCTGCCTGGGATTGTCGTGGTTGGCACGAACATCCCAAAGGTCTTGTTTGCACCACACCTTTAAGAGATTCCCAATTCAGCAGTAAAAGATGAGATAGTTGCCGTTTGATTACCAAATGGACATAAACTGTTCCTCTTCAGTCGGAATTTACTATGATCCCTGCTAGGGTAGAAATTAGACACTAGGAACGACTATGCATCCGGTTATAAAGAATTGTAGAGGCATCGACGGGGGAGATAAGGGTGCAACGTGTAGACTATAAGAACGTAGTAAAATAGGCGAAGTTGTTGCTCGGGCACGTCTACGGCTACGATAAGACCGGCTGAAGCCAATCTTGAATATCGCGAGATGGGCGGTCCAACGAGAAGCGTAAAAGAAACCCGTTATGGATAGACCTCTATCGCGACGGTTAGGTCGTACACAGTTTACTTTCTGGTGGGATTTGGTGATCGAAACGGTGTCCTGTAGCATTTACGGTATTCATCACCAACAGGACAAATATTCTTTCCTTATGATTGCGATTTTGTGCGTACACGCGAGTTGCACGCCCATAACCCAGCCCAAAATCCATTTAGATAAAGTCCGTTTAAAGCTCAATCAAAATGCACTGAAAAACGTAAACAGCAGGAAAAGCAAGCTTCAAAAGCACGGACTGGCGCTGACCTGATTGTTGCGACAGTTTTCCCACACTTTGCGAAGAATCGCGTGCGTACGTTCTCGTGATGAGAAGGATGTGAAGAAGAAACGCTGATGGTTCTTCGAGTAGATAATCTGTATAGCGTTTGGAATAACGCGAGCCGTTTTCTCCTTCGTAATTGCGATGATCTCCTTGACAGCCAGATAAATCTAATCGACAAAAAAGCAAGGGCCGAAGAGAGTGAATAAGGTACGGCATACAACCTAGGTGTAACTTTCATAAACTAAAACCATAATCGCACAGAGCACACAGTCCTAAAACGATTGAAAAAGGGTGGACAATGCAGACAGCTATTTTGTCAACTGTGACGTCAATGATGATAACGCTGCGTTGAATAACCATGTACATGCATACAAGTGACTTCGCTGTGACCCATAAATTCACGTGTTGTGACTAAATAATGATCGCGAACGCATGGAGTCCGAAACATATTCACGTGTTGTGACTAAATAATGATCGCAAACGCATGGAGTCCGAAGCATCACCGTTCCAAGGCAATGAAGTTGACAATCTCTGGTTAACACATTCTGTAAATACTCTAGAGCGATCAGGAACGACGAAGAGGACGCGAGGTCAAAAATGACTACCACTGAGCTTCTATGGCACAACAGGTGTTAGTTACTACCGTACGATTGGTTAGGCGAATCACTCCTTTAACAATCCTTTTGGTCGTTGTGGCTGTAAGTCTATAAGTCTGCTAAACCGTTCCCAGAAGTTCATTCCACCAGTGAGCTGCCATGCAACCCGAAGGAAGCACGAGGGCTGGGATACTGCCAGGTTGCCCAAGCCTAGACAGGGGAAGTCGAGAGGCAGAGATCAGATTCAAACCACGGACCTCGCGGGCAGCAAATTCTAACCACTTGGGCCATCTCGCCCCCAGCAATTCTTAGATGAAGTCGAGTACAGAATTGAGCGTCCCACTGCTCTTTCTACTCTGGTCGCTGGCATTCCATCTCCTCTCCACGGTCGAGACGTATATTGTCCTATCCTTACTGTATCGATATTACCGCAACAAGCTTTGTTTTGAATTCGCATATTCTGTTCCAGTTTTCAAGTTATTCTATCTTGCATCTCCTCAGCTGCATTCACCTTTATCAGCGAGGAATTTATATTTCTTTCGACACAGAACTTTTCTTTCTATTCTCGACAAAAACGTACGACTTCGTTTCCCATATATTTTGGATCTCAAAACTGGGGTTACCCTAAAGCGTTCCAACCTAACTGGCCCTACTTTATATGTTATTACTCATCTTCTCATAACTTTTGAATATATTACTATGCTTTTTGCATGGTTATCCACCTTACATCAAGTCGCCGACTGTGGATTCCACCATTCATTACCAAAGAAACTCACATTTCAGGTAGAAAGATGACCGGCGAAACTAAGAACTAGTGTAAATACCTAGATTAACTTTGAAGGGACGTCATTTTTCTCAAATTCGTCACCTAAGTGGGTGGTCTGTTCCATGCAGTCAACAACACAAGTAGCTAGCCTACTGTGACAGTGAATTTCAACAGTCCATGTGGAGATCGGACGAATTCAAGTCCACATCTATATTCAGCGGACAACCTATGCTTGTGCGCGATGGTATAGACAGTTCAGCCGCGATGCGCTGCAGAATGATTTCAGACGCCCAAATGATGGAATCCGAAGTTGAATGGGAAACTATTCAGGACGATTGAATGCTTCTGTAGCATACCACCCGGTGTATTCCAGTGCCGCAAATTCTAACCCATTTGTAGCAGCACATCTGAGCTTGCCGCCCAACATGTATAATAACCATAATAATATACTGCTAGCAGGAGTGATGTTTACAAACCCAAGGAAGCAGTGGTTGTAAACTGGGGAACCATACTAATGACTGCATCACCTAATTGCTTATCATAAAAACTTCAATCCGAATTCCTCAGACTTCCGGAGGCTGACACATGTTAGCCGGAAAAATAGATCGGGACTGTTGGGATAATGACGTACTTCTCCCGGAATGGAAAACAGCAATGATTTTCCGTATGGTAGCGAGTCGAAAATCCACTAAATTAGCTCACCTACCAATGGAAGCATAAATAGTTCGAAAAATTTCCCGCTAAATGTAACAACTGATAGTGGACTGACAGTAAAAGCAGACGACAAAACCTCACAGGACTTTGAAAAATACGGACAAATCGCAGCTGCAACTCCGTCTATTATGGCAACACACAGGTGTAAATAGTATTTTTCGGTAGCTAAATAGACTAAGCTGTGCAGCAGTCAAATGACACTGAGGATACTGCGGAATCGCAAAACCTTTTACATCATTTCCACAACTACAGAATTATATATATATATATATATATATATATATATATATATTAAGC